ATGACGTGATCCACTCTATTACACCGTAGACATAGATTTGACACCCGTATCTTTTAGATATATAAGACAAGCAGAATGTTTCAGGTAATATGATTAGATGCACTCATTCACATCTCAGAATATGTCCGCGTGCACTTACTCAATGTACCACACTTGCCAGTCTACTGGCACCACTCCTTGTTTTCCTGGATGCGACCCTCAGAAGCATTAGAGTTATGCTTACGCTTTTCGGCGAAAGTGATCTTGTACTCGTTCTTGCTGCTGCTAGAGCGATCGGTGCTGCCAGGACGTCCAGCGCTGTCAGGATCGTTAGGGCGGGCAGGGATCTTAGAGTTGTCAGAATGGCCAGAGCTGTTTGAAATCTCGCAGTAAGACTGGGTGCGCTTACTCAATCCATCGTACTAGCCAGACTACTGGAGTGGCACCGTTCCTTGTTCGCCTGGAAGGCCAGGATGGGACCCTCAACATTTTTCTTTTCAAGACCTTTTTTTTCTACATTTTTGTATTTTTTATGTTAAAGATTATTGTTTTATGATAAATACCTTTCCTTTTTAACTCGCGGAATGCGGATAGAACCCCAGAAGGCCCAGAGCCCCAGACTCACTCATCATATTTATGCATAGTCAGACTCGGGTATTTACTATATATAGTAAATAGAGGCCAAGTGAAACCCAATTGTTATTTTGTTTTGTTATAAAAAACAAAATATTCAATTTATGCTTTTTTTGGTTTTGTTTTGTTTTTTAAACAAAAACCATATCTTGTTTTGTTTTTCAAACAAAAACCATATCTACAACAAAACAGAATTCTGTTGGGAAAGAAAAGGTGAAAGCCTGAAAGGTCCCTACATACTAGTAAATTGATTGTGCCTATACGGCACCGGTGACTCGGCCGTGAGTCGGCCGTGACTATAATTATTAACGGCGGCCCGGGCCCTCTTGTATTCCATTCCCTCTTAGTTCAACTAAACAATTCGTTGCAATTTGTTTTTGATTTTATATTCAGAAAAAAGATTGCGGTTTATGCGGTTCGTGAATTCACAGAACAGGACAAAATATCTTGGACCTGAAATTTACAACAGAACGGGTTTTAGGTTATGAAACGATTTTATTTTGTTAAAAAAATAATTATTCAGAAGTATGAATCCACGAATTCACGCTCACAACTTTACACAAGTTTAAAATAAACAGAACATTGTGACTCTCTCTCTAGTCTGAGGTTTTGTATTCTGTTTCAGGTGATAGGTGTTATGTACCGAAAACTGATACTCTTGAGTCTTGACTGTTGTATCGGTAAAGATTTTTAATAGTTCGGTACTTAGGCCAAGGTCGCCTAACGTGGGCCCATAAATATCGACCCTACCTTTGCGAATGGTCCGGAATGGACAGGATACGGTTTTGGACACGGCTGGGGCGTTTATAGTTTTATCATGGCCTCACGGGTGCCGTATAGAGTATAGTACTATAGAATCACTATGGACAATTAGACACAATCCTCCGGGCCTCTCGTGAGTCTCGAGTACTCTCGTCTCTCGAATCTCACGACTCGTGGTCTCGCGCATTCGCGCACGGCAGGGGTCTAAATATCGGAAATCCAGGCAACCGCATCGTAAATATTTAAAAACATTGAATCTATTACGTGACCCGAATGGGCCGAATCAGAATGTCTCTATATATAGTTATATACGGTGCAGCTGAACATGAAACTATTTTTTTAAGTAAAACGCCTAAAGTTCTGAAATCTGAACCCTTGGGCCTTGTGTTCCTATATGAACCTGATATAAATATTTTCTTGATTTTATATATTTTTTCATTCTACCAATTCTAATTGCGGTTAATGAAATCAATGAATCAGCAATCACTGAACAACACTGGACAGGACAAAATCCCTTGGACTATCTGGAATTTGGAAATAATGGAATTTATAAACAGTATGGTGGCACACTGGCACCATAGGGGACTAAAAAATTGTCCTCTACGAAAGAATACATATCAGGATCAAATGGATTGTAGATATAGAAACCACTCAAACCAGAGTCATAGTAGCAACAATATACTAAAATACAGAGCAACCCAAACGATATTTAATATTCAGTAAAGTATGGACCCACGACTAACAGTACTAAGTAGTATAATATACTAAGTGTTTTTGATTTTTTGGCGAGGGCCCATAAGTATCGACCCTGCCTTTGCGGATGGACCGGATGCGCTTTGGACACGGCTCAGGCGCTAATAGTTTTATGCTCAGCAGTGCCGTATAGAGACATTCGTACTCTCTAAGTAATATTAACTATGTTTTCAAACGTCCAGAGAAATACTCGTCATAAATATCATGTTGGCATCGCTAAATATTCCTCAATAAATAACACATTTATGTACTAATACTTTTTTTTAGTCTTACGACCCAAATAAACGTTTTTATTTAAAAATTGAATTAAAACTGGTTCGCGAGCGTTGAAGAATCTCATATCCGGCTAAATTAAACAGACAAAGAATTCACACTCCGACCTTTTAATGACGTATGACAAGTGGAAATGTTCCCGGCAATATGACTGGGCGCATACATTCACATCTCGCAGTATGACTGGGCCTTACTCAGTCTACCACATTTT